CAACGGAGCCACCCAGGCATCCCTGGAGACATGTTTAAAGTTGAGGTGGGGCTGACATGAGGTGATCCCTTCACTGTTTCGGTGCTCACAGCACAGACACCATGGCCCAGCACTCAGACGGGGACTTGTTGTTGTGTCCAGCCGGTTGTGTATTTGAAAAGATGTGCCGTGAATTCATGTTTCAGGCATTAGTCACTTGAATGAGTGCTTCAGAATGCAGTGCAGTTCTATAACAACGTTTGCACACTAAAGAAGTTGTGGTGGGAAGAGAGTAGTTAATTTTGAAGTTACTTCCTAGATGATGGAGGATTTGGACTGTGAATTAAAGCAAATGGGCAGCAACTTCACTGGTGTGTCATGAGGTTAGGCAGGGGTTTCCCAACCTGAAAGGAACTCCCCACCAACTTTTCAGAACATCTGAAATTCCCATGGATCCTTAAGTCCTGTTTCTTGATTTGTATATGTCTTTTCATGTTGGCTTGAGGAAACTTCCATTTCCTGGTATATGTTTGATTAATTCATCGAGTACCACTAGTGACCCCCATGAAAATGGAACAGAAAATGGTAAGTTTTGTGTACATGCGTGGCAAAGGACTGTGGATGGAAATAAAGCCTGAGGGCTAGAACACAGTACTTGGGCCCTTCTAAATTGGGTGTCACCTGGAGGGACCTAATGGCCAGGGCAATGGGCAGGGACAGCAAAATCAAATCAACCAGTATCTGCCAACCACTTTGTACATGAAAGTCAATGCAGCAAATATTCTTGCAGATCAAGAGAAAGAAAAATATGACATGGCCTTTTTGCTCGAGGAAGTTGTCATTACAAATAGTGTCTGGGAAAGAAATAATTATAAGATTTATGGGATGTTTACTGTGTGTCAGGTATTAATCTAAAGGCCATGTATGCTCTCATCAACCTGTGAGATAGGTACAATGACTATATTGAGTTTATAGATCTGGAAACTGAGGCCCACGGGAATCCAAAATCTTTGAAACCTGAGATCCAGGCATTGGGACTCCAGAGTCCTTGCTTTTAAGCGTTATGAATACTGCCTCTCAGGCAATTTTTTTATATTTCAGGGCCTCTGGGAAAAGGTGAAAGGAAAATGTAAGAGTATGCTTGGTAGATCGCAGTTCGTGATGCCAGCCAGATTTCTTCTACCCCATTACCTGAAATCTTATAAATGTGAAATGTACAAAGAATCTTCTTGCTTGTTCTAAGATATTTGACCTAGGACAGCCTGGCAGAACTCTTATCACCCCAAACCCAAGTCTTCAATCTGATTTTAAATATTCTCGTTCAGGGCTAATCGGACCTAAGGGATTTTTTGTTGTTGTTATTGTCCTAAGTCTGCCAAGAAATACTTTATTTTTGGACTTTCTACCTGAAATGTGAACAGCTGAGCAGAGTCACTCAGTGGCCTTTGATCCCATTAGAGAGTTCTGAATTGGTGACCCAGATCCTTGCATGAAATTTGATATTAAAATAACACCAAACTGAAGACATCGGAGATTACAATGTAATGTATACAGTCAGAGTAACCAAGACTCGAGGAAAATAAAATGAGTTTCAGTTGGCTTCATTTGCTCACTTGTGACTTTCCTTTCACTCTTGAGTGATTCTTCACCTGCCTCTTCACATATCAGGGACACAGCAAAACACAAAGTCTCTAACTCCAATTTAAGGATGTTAGAAGCTAGCGGAGCTTGCTAAACAGCAGTACTCTTTATCGCGTCAAAAAGACCCTGCGACAAGTGCTGCTAATGAATTTGAATTCCTCTCAGTTCAGGTACTACCCTGTTGTCATCTTTCCACACTATTTTATCTTCCAGGAGTTTATGCTTCGTCACATTTGGCCTTCTTTGAGGGAGGCCTGACCTAGTGACTGTCCTGGGTTTGCAGATGGACTGTGTTTCCTCTAGATCCTAATATTTTCATTTTTTAAAGATTTATTTATTTGAGGGGCACCTGGGTGGCTCAGTGGGCTAAAGCCTCTGCCTTCGGCTCAGGTCATGATCGCAGGGTCCTGGGATCGAGCCCCGCATTGGGCTCTCTGCTCTGCTTCCTGCTCTCTCTATGCCTGCCTCTCTGCCTACTTGTGATCTCTCTGCCAAATTAAAAAAAAAAAAAAAAAAAGATTTATTTATTTGAGAGAGAGAGGAAGGATGAGTGGAAGGGGCAGAGGGAGAGAGAATCCCAAGCAGACTCCACGCTGAGCACAGAGCCCAACATGGGGCTCTATCCCATGACCCCGAGACCATGACCTGAACCAAAAGCAAGAGTCAGACACCCAACTTTCTGTGCCACCCAGGCACCCCTCCCGTTATATTTTCTTAAGAGTGGCCTGTGTGGCTTTCCTTTCTCCTCTCTCACCAGCGGCCAGCCTTCAGCAGATGTAGTAACTACTTGAGCTATTACACAGACACAGTATTTCAGCTGGTGTGTGGGTTTATTTAGCAAGCGTTTATTGGAAGCTTCCCATGTGCACCCACTAGCCAGGGAGGGAATCCCGCCTTACATGCCATACCGCTGGTGCCTCACCTGCCTTCCCCTAGTCCTGGCCTGGTTCCCAAGTACTGTGCAGGACACCAGAGTCCCAGAGCTGGCCGAGATATGGCCCTTACCCCCCATGCGGACATCCGGTGGGAGATACATAAATGATCCAGTGGATGTTGTTCTTGATTCAAATTGTAGCTGAAGCCCACACTACATTTTTTCCATTTTCTGTAGCTGACTTATCAGGAACTCAAAACAGGAATAAAATAAAAATTAATTTAGATATATTATTTCCTTTAAAATAGCTTATAGAATTGCTGGAAAAAATATGCCAATACTCAAACATCAAACTCACAGAATTAGCCTAGGGAAGACTGTTTTGAATGCTGGTTGTTTAACAACTGAGCAGAAGCATAGAACTCTTTTTCAACTTAATGAAAATAATAAATGCAGATGAGCACCAGGTGTTGTAGGAAAGTGACAAATCACTAGACTGTACACCTGAAACTGGTATTACACTGTATGCTAACTGACCAGGATTGAAATGAAAACATTAAAAAAAAGAAGTTAATAAATACAGAAGCAAAAGCATATGGATGATAAGTGACCTCACTGTCTCACTGTTTTGAAAGTGCTTTCTTAAAACTAAAATTATAGTCAATCAAATAGTTATTTTGGAAAGGGAGAATTAATTTCTGTTTTGGTTTCTAACCTAGCTTTTGGGAATCACAAGATTTCTTTGTGACAATACTAAGATGGGATGCTGAAATTCACCTTTTTTTTTTTATTTTAAAGAATGTTCCACACCCATTGTGGAGTCCAGTATGGGGCTTGAACTCATGATGAGATCAAGACCTGAGCTGAAGTCAAGGGTCAGACACTCAACCAACTGAGCCACCCAGGTGCCCTTATTTCTGATTCTTTAATGAATAATGCAACTAAGTAAAATTGTGTTCTGAGAACCTACTTACTTTTTCTTCTTGTTAAAGTCTGATTCGGGTGGTGGGAAAGCCATTGTACTCTACTTATTTGCCTCCTATCCAGCCTCTGATTTGTGCATACGTCTAGTATCTAGAAAGGACCATTTAGCTAGAATCAAAAAGATAAATAACTATTAGCAAGGATGTGGAGGAAAGAAGACCCTTGTGCACTGTTGCTGGAAATGTTAATTGGTGCAGCCACTGCGGAAATCAAAATAATAAAAATAGAGGGACACCTGACTGGCTCAGCTGTTGGAACGTGCAATTCTTGATCTCAGGGTCATGTGTTCAAGCCCACGTAGGATGTAGAGATTACTTAAAAATAAAATCTTTTGGGGCGCCTGGGTGGCTCAGTAGGTTAAGCCTCTGCCTTCAGCTCAGGTCATGATCTCAGGGTGCTGGGATCGAGCGCCGCATCGGGCTCTCTGCTCCGCAGGGAGCCTGCTTCTCTCTCTGCCTGCCTCTCTGCCTACTTGTGATCTCTCTCTGTAAAATAAATAAGTAAAATCTTTTTAAAAAATAAAAAAAAAATAAAATCTTTAAAAAAATTAAAAATGCAAGTATCATATGATCCAGTAATTCCACTACAGGTTATTTACCCAAAGAAAATGAAAACACTCATTTGAAAAGACATATGTACCCTGTGTTTATTGTAGCATTATCTACAGTAGCCAAGATATGGAAGCAACCCAGTGTCCATTGATAGTTGAATGGATAAAGATGCTGGGGATGGGGGTTGTATATCTATAGTGGAATATTACTGGGCCATAAAAAAGAGTCAGATCTTGCCATTTGCCAGAACATGGATGGACCAAGAGAGTATTACGCTAAGTGAAATAAGTGAGACAAAGAAAGATAAATATCACATGATTTCATTTATATCTGGAATCTAAAAAGCAAAAACAAAAAGCAGAAACAGATCCATAAATACAGAGAACAAACTGATGGTTGCCCCATGGGAGGAAGGAAGGGGCATAGGCAAAATGGGTGAAGGGGAGTGGGAGATACAGGCTTCCAGTTATAAAACAAATAAGTTACGGAGATTAAAGATACAGCATAGAGAATATAGTCAGTGATACTACAATAGCATTGTGTGGTGACAGGTGGTAGCTGTGCTTGTGGTGAACATAGCATGAATTACAGAGATGTTGAATCACTATGTTGTACACCTGAAACTAATGTAACATTGTGTGTTAACTATACTGTAACTAGAAAGAAAGAGGGTAGGGGGGCCTCACTGGCTCAGTCAGTAGAGCATGTGACCCATGATCTCAGGGTCCTGAGTTCAAACCCCATGTTGGGCACAGAGCTTACTTATTAAAAAAAAAAGAAAAAAAAAAAAGATTAAAAAAAAAGAAGGCAGCTTGGTTAAAGATGTTTATTATATTAAAGATATGCTGGCCTTCCATTGTATTATATACATTCTTCTATTTTCAGTCACTAGACTTTTTAAGATATAATTTAGAAACAAGTTTCTATTACTTTTACTTTTTAAAATATTCTTAATTTCTTCTTTATTATAGAGCAAAGAGATTGCATTCCAACTTCATGAGGATTTGATGAAGGTCCTTAATGAACTCTATACGGTAAGCACATAATCTTTCTTCTTTTGCAAGAATCTTTGGTTTAGAATTTTGGTTTGCAGAAACATTGCTCTTATTAGAATTTATTCTAAACTAGGATGTTGATGGATGCTTCTCTGGTTGAAATGTGGAACCAGGTGGATAAATGCACACTACTACATTTTGCCATATCCTCTCAATTTGGGGAGACTGTATTCAAGTAAATATGTATGTGCAATTAGCACACGTTTAAGAAACTAGAGTATAAATGTCACAGTAAGACATGTTTTTAACTGGTTGAATTATAGGTGATATGTACATATATTTAATTCCAGAGTATTTTGTCTTAAATTGTTACCATTCTTAAATTAGCCATTCCAGAATTTGAGTAACTTAGAGTTGCTTTATTCTGTTACTTTAATTAATTTTTTTTCCCATTTTAGTTAAATTGTTTGGTTAATGACCTAATATGTTAAAATTACATTTGGGCAGGTATATATTTTTCTCCTTGGCAATAATCTGCTTTTTTAAATTTAAATTTTATTCATGTTACTGTATATAATAATAAGAAATTAAATAAATTAAACCTATTTTATTTAAAAAAAAAACAGTGAGGTTGCAGGTTGGAATTAGTCATATGTCCATGTAAATTTTTTTACACTTAATGATCATATTATTAAACACAAATTCCAGGGGTGCCTGGGTGGCTCAGTGGTTAAAGCCTCTGCCTTCGGCTCGGGTCATGATCCCAGGATCCTGGGATCGAGCCCCGCGTCGGGCTCTCTGCTCAGTGCAGAGCCTGCTTCTCTCTCTCTCTGCCTGCTTCTCTGCCTACTTGTGTTCTCTGTCAAATAAATAAATAAAATCTAAAAAAAAAAAAATTAAACACAAATTCCTTCTGGAGGAATTTGATGAGTTTTTATTTTAAAATAGAGAACAGCATAATGAGAAATGAATAATATTAATTTGTATAGTATAGATATTTGCATTTTTATTGTATAAGATTATTTGAATTCTTATTTATAGGCAAATTAAACCTGAAACATTATTAACATATGTTTCTTGATTTACAAATCCCATTTGTTCTTAAAAAGCCATGTGTGTAAAATGCAGTTTTGTAAATTGTTTTTAATGCTCCATTGATACTTGCTAATTAAAAGACACTGTAGTTTTAAGCTTTTTATTTATAAAATGAGTGATATTCTTATGAAATTCACTTTCCAGTTTTTCGTACATGTGTGATAAATTTGTATTTTTTCTTATATACATATATATATATTTTTTAATTTCTTTTAAGCATAACAGAATTCATTGTTTTTGCACCACACCCAGTGCTCCATGCAATACATGCCCTCCTTAATACCCACCACCTGGCTCCCCCAACCTCCCACCCCCCCACCCCACCCCCTGCCCCTTCAAAACCCTCAGATTGTTTTTCAGAGTCCATATTCTCTCATGGTTCACCTCCCCTTCCAATTTCCCTCAACTCCCTTCTCCTCTCCATCTCCCTATGTCCTCCATGTTATTTGTTATGCTCCACAAATAAGTGAAACCATATGATACTTTAAAAAATGTATTTATTTTAAAGAGAATGCATGGGAGTGGGGGAGGGGCAAAGGGAGAGAAAGTCGTAAGCAAATGCCTCACTGAGTGCAAAGCCCCACATGGTGTTAAATCTCATGACCCTGAGAATATGACCTGAGCCAAAACCAGGAGTCAGTTGCTTAACCAACTGCCACCCAGATGCCCTGCTAATGAAATTGAGTTTTTGATGATAAAGGCCATTTATTAGCTCATAGTTTTTGTGTGATTTGTTCATTTCTGATACCCTAAGTTGGCAACCATTTTTGGATTTAGAATTTAAAAGTTAAGTGAACATCATGCCTCTGAGGCATCCAAAGAAGAAATTCTGTATCTTCTTCCACTGAACTATTCTAAGATGAGAGCTTTGTGACATTTCCCTTGTGGATCCTTTTGCTTGGACTTTGTTTTGCCTAGAAATAAAAATCAATCTCTAATACTTTAAAAAATAGATATTTCTCCCTCTGACCTCTCCCCTCTCATGCTCTCTGTCTCTCTCTCTTTCAAATAAATAAATAAAATGTTTAAAAAAACAAACAAACAAACAAAAAATGGGTGCCTGGGTGGCTCAGCTGGTTAAGCAACTGCCTTTGGCTCAGGTCATGATCCTGGAGTCCTGGGATCGAGTCCCACATCGGGCTCTCTGCTCGGCGGGGAGTTTGCTTCTCCCTCTGACCTCTCTCCTCTCATGCTCTCTCTCTCTTTCAAAGAAATAAATAAAATCTTTAAAAAAAAAAATAGGTCTGCTGATTGTCATGACATCATAGACAAAAGCATATTGATTATGGTCTGAAGCTAGTAGTACTAGTCAAAGCAACAATGGCAGAGTAAACTTGATTATTGAGTATGAGGAAAATCAGTAAAATGCTGTGTGAAGATTTTATCTCAGAGAGGGATGTGCGTAGTTAAATTTTTCCTCTATTCAGCCTATCAAACGGACTTAGACATTTATCAGACTTTACGTAGATGTATCAAGTAAGCTGACATCTCAAAACTCTCATCCTTTTTTCTCAGCCTGAAAGACTAAAGGAGCCAGGTTCTAGAAAAGGCCACTGGAGTTTGAATGACCCTGTCAGAGTCATTTAACCTCTCAGAATCAGTTAAGAAACTAAGGGGTATGGGGTGCCTGGGTGGCTCAGTGGGTTAAAGTCTCTGCCTTCAGCTCAGGTTATAATCCCAGGGTCCTGGGATCAAGCCCCCACATCAGGCTCTTTGCTCAGCCGGGAGCCTGCTTCCTCCTCTCTCTCTGCCTGCCTCTCTGCCTACTTGTGATCTCTCTCTCTCTGTCAAATAAATAAATAAAATCTTTTAAAAAAAAGAAGAAAGAAAGAAAGAAACTAAGGGATGGTAGAGGTAAGCAATGAGGTTCTGCTTAGGTAGTCTGTAGATCACTTTAAACTCTTGGAAAAAAAATTTATCTTGAGGCACCTGGGTGGCTCAGTGAGCTGAGCATCTGACTTTTGATATTGGCCAACCTCTTGGCTTGGGGTCTTGAGTTCAAGCTCCACATTGGACTCCCTACATTTGGAAAAAGAAAGATCTTAACCAGAGAGCATGTTCATCCAAGGTCAGAGGTCCTGTTCCTTTGGGAAAGACCTTCATTATACACATACACAAATACGTACACAGTTCACTATAAAAGATAATGGTGTTTGGTCTCTCTTGCCCTTTAAATTCAGATACACAAATTCTGTCTTTTTGAAATGATATCTATTCATTATACATATTCAGCTTATATTCGGAAGAAAAGATGAGGAGTATTTGAACAGGGGACCAGGAGTTGGGGGAATGCTGTTGAGGTTTCTTGTGCAAACATTGATGGGTCATGGACAGATGATCATCAGAGTTACATCATGCATAGAAGTTTGTACAGCAGATGATGTAGTAACGATTGCTAAAGCAACAGGTATAAAATATGTAGCCTTAAGCAACTGAGGATGCTATTGAATTCCCTTCCTTTTTTTTTTTTTTTTTTTAAATCTCTTGATACTCCTTCAGAGTCAAAAACATCTGAAAGTACATTAGCTTCCTTACACCGGTATAGCTGATGAGCGCTGAGTGCTTTTTTTAAAATTACAGCCAACCTTAGTGGTGAGCAGCAGCCTTATGTGTGGCTTTCCTTACCCAAAGATATTTCTCCCAGAGTCCTCTTGGTTATTCCAAACATTCTATTAGAAGGTTAAAACACAAACACCCAGAAGGAGCCAAAAGAAATGCCTTATGATCATTTATACCTTAGAGTGAACCGTGTTTTATCAGATCCTTTGAATAGAGGTGTGTATCAGGCATAAAGGCCAGACTTCTGAGCAGAGGAGAGAGGATGGTGGCATCAGAGTGCCATCCAGAAGGGGAGGAAAGGCTTTGAAGACATTCATACCCTTCTCTATATTTTTTCCTCAACCTTGCCTTTATTTGCAGAAACAGAACCTCAGGATTATTGTGTCTCACCTGGAAGACACATAGGGCAGAAAAGCGAATTCTCTTATTCAGCCCTTGTATTTTGTATTCAGGCCCTCACCAGAATGGGTGAGGCTCACCCACATTGTTATGAAGACTAATTTATTTATTCAACAAACATTTTTTATTTTTATTTTATTTTTAAGATTTATTTATTTATTTGACAGAGAGAGAGAGAGAGAGAGAGTGTGCGTGCGGACAAGCAGGCATAATAGCAGCAAGAGGAAGAAGGAGAAGCAGTCTCTGTGCCAGGCTGAGAGCCCAATGCGGGGCTCATTCCCAGGACCCTGAGATCATGACCTGAGCTGAAGGCAGACACTTAACGACTGAGCCACCCAGGCGCCCCCCGCCCAACATCTTTAAAATGCCTATTAGAGTACCAGGCACTTTGGGATATATTGGGGATGCAGGTATGAGTAAAAACAGGCCACATACTTCTTCTCAAGGCATTTATATTCTAGTGGGCAGAAAAAGACAGTAAACAAATATATGTATAGTATGGCAATTATAAGTACTAAAAGGATAAATCTGAATTAATACAGGCATTCAGAACAGTGCCTGGCCCACAGTAAATGCTTAATAAATGTTAGCTGTTAGTGTCACCCTGGTCATGTCATCCTTTTCGTCATTCGTTGAGGGGGGATGGTAACAGCTCTTTGTGGATATCAGGGACGATATCAGCAGTAATTACACATGACTCTTATATATGTATATACACACATATGTACACTTTTTCCTTATAACGGATATTTATTACTTTTGTAAAAAAGGAAAAAAGAAGATAACTTTCCCTAAATAAACCAAATCAGGGCTGCCATTGGGTTAGTAGGGAGGTGGAAAAGCAAAAACAAAACAAGGATGACACGAAAAGTCAAAGGGGGCATTCAAAACAAATTTTGCCTTCATCAGTCTGGCAAACAGTGATTTAAATTGCTAAGACACTCCCCTAATACCAAAATCTCAACAGGTTATGCTGCATTTTAGCA